AAAAAAAAAAAAAAAAAAAAAAAAGAAAGGTAATCCTGTGGCATAGTGTGAGGTGATTTGCTGCTCATGAATTCAAAATATATGTGCAAAATGATAATAATAACTGTCATGAGCACTGGGGCTTCCATTTATGACATACCTTTCACATCCATAATATTTCCAGGAGGTGAGCCTAGTACCCGGGGGAGGCCTCTTCCTCCTCACCATCACCATGGCCTGCTGGAGAGTGAAGGGAACCGCTCCAGGGGCCTGAGGCCGTGACTGTCCCATGGTCTCCGTGGGAGCACCAGGCCAGCGGGTGGTCTTGCCCACCAGTGCAGACTTTGCCTCCAAATCCCACCTCCCAGGCACTGCAGCCACTTCACACTGGCACACTAGCCTCTCCTGGCACCCTCCACAGGAGGCAAACCCAAGTCTCTCTGCCTTTCTTTCTTTTCTTTCTTTTTTTTTTTGGTACTGGGGATCGAACCCAGGTCCTTGTGCTTGCAAGGCAGGTACCGGAACCACTGAGCTAAATCTCTGGCCCCTTTCCTTCCTTCGTTCCTTCGTTCCTTCCTTCCCTCCTTCCTTTCTTTCTTTTTTTTTTTTCTTTCTTTCCACGGCCTTGTTTCGTTCCTTCCTTCCTTCCTTCCTTCCTTCCTTCCTTCCCTCCTTCCTTTCTTTCTTTTCTCTCTTTCTTTCTTTCAACACGGTCTTGCTATGCGCAGGCTGGCGTTGAGCTCACTCTGTAACCCAGATTGGCCTCCAATGAGTGCTGATCCTCCTGCCTCCTCCTAACTGCTGGGGTTACAGGTGTGCACTGCCATGTCTGATTCTGTTGTCAATCTCTGGTGCTCAAGGAATTCAAAGGTGAGACCAGACCACAGCGAGATATACAGTCTCCAAAATGGTCTCTTTAAAATTTTTATTTATTTATTGATATACTGGGGGTCGAACCTAGGACCTTCACACCTGTGCTACATCCTCAAGCTTTTTTTTTTTTTTTTAGATAAATTTGAAAATTTAAAAAAAATTCTTATTAAGGCACTAAGGTGTTCAGGCTGGGCTTGAACTTGTGATCCTCCTGCCTCAGCTTCCCAGTACTAGGATTACAGGCGGGCGCCACCATGCCCTGCTTGAGATCATGTTTTTGACTGCAAGATGCTACTCAGAGGGACTAAGGGACGGCAGGTGATGGTCACTTACCCCTACCCGATGTGGTCACCCTCTCCCACAGTGGTTGACAACCAAGTGCTTGTTTCCTGCTCTGCTCTGTGGTTGGCCAGTCGAGGCTGGAGGGATCCTCTGAGAATCTCTTGTCCAGCAGGAACAGAGGGATGGTTAGGAGGCCCTGGAGAAAGAGCAGAAGGGAACGAAAAGCACTTCCTCCAACTGGCTTAGGAGCAGCCAAGGCCCCAGCGCTAAAGGGAGGGTAGGAAGAAGGCAGCGTTGGTCTCCACCCAGAGAGGTGGATCCTGGGCCGGACCCAGGCATCTGCAGATGGACACAGGCCACAGCACAGCCAGTCCTACGCTCCTGGGCAATACATGCAGGCTGAGAAGGGCAGGAACTCCAGAAGCCACACCCCATGGGTGAGCAGAGCCCCACAGCCAGGAGGGAAGGGTCACCTCACAAGTGTGGGAAGCACCCGATGTGAGGAGAGCTGAGGTGCTCCGTATCCCTCCACAGCCCACACCCTCACCCTCACCAGACACACACACACAGCTCCCCAGTACATTTACACACACTCACACTCACACACTCAGGAAGTCTTGTGCTGGCCGAGAATGCGTGTCCCCTTCCTCGCGGTTAAAGGATTATCTGGGTGGAAGCCGGCTTTGAACACCCTGTGCACACGAGCAGGGACTGTCTGTCTCAGGGCCTAACCCCGGCTGCTGGGCCTCCCAGAGTGGAGGGCTGCTTCAGCAGTGTCCCTGGAGGCTCTGTTTTGGACAGGCCCCTGGGCAGAGCGCCTCCTGGCCACCAGGCTCCTCCTGGGCACTTACTTCCTTGGGGAAAACTACCTTTGAGTGGACCTTTCTTTTAATGACTCCACACTCAGTTCAGGTAGACATTTATCACTGGCTACCATCACATTCTTAACAAACTTAGTGGGCAGAAATATTAAGATTTCCAAACAGAAAATACATGTTTTGCAGCATTCTTATGTTAGCACGGGAGATACACTCAAGTTTCTAGAAGATGAAATGTGAGCTGTGCTCAGTCTTGGCTTGTACAGAGGCTGCTGTCTGGTGGGACAGAGCCTGGCTCAGCCCCAGCTCAGGAAGACTGTGCTTCACCAGAAACCTCATTTATTCTCTCCCAAGACAACACAAAAAGGACACCACACTGCACACTAGGAAAACAAGAGTTTGCAAGACGCTATATGCCAGACAGCAAAAGCCCAAGATTTCTGAGAGATGGAAACAAATAGTGTGAACCTTCCTGTTGCCCCAGCTCACTGCCTAGAGACCATTTTGGGGCAAAGGAGCAGGGAAGAGGGGTCTGGGGACTCTCCAAATTGGGGAGATATAGCTGAGAGTGTGGGAGACCGAGAGAGACAGAGCCCTGGAGGGGAGAGGTCTGCACAGAGGAGGAATCCAGAGACCTGCAGAGAGGCCCTGAGGACTGCCCAGCACACATACGAGGAAAGTCTGGACCAAGGACCACTTGAGAGTACCAGAGGGAGTGAACTACAAAGACTTGCGTTCTGTTCCCTCCTAACAAACCTTAACAGGAAAGTCAAGCTGCTTACAACTTAACTGCACCCCACAAAAAACCCAATACTTACAGGAATGAAAATCTATTTAGCACACAGCGAGGTGCAAGACATAATGACTGGTGTCCAAAAAAAAAAAAAAAATTACCTAGCATGCAAAAGAATTATACAACCCATAACGAGGGGGGCGGGAAACCTGAGTTAACTGAAACTGACTTGTAACTGCCACAGATGTAGTGGATAGGAACAGTAAAACAGCTACTATGCCTGGATTTGGATGATGAGAAGAGTGACTTCAGGCCACAGGCTACTGCTCACCCGGCTCAGTCTTCACCTGGGTTAATCTGGTGGCTTTACATCCAAACTCCACTGAGGCCACATAAGCAGTGAGCAAGGCCCAGGGTTCCTTGGCCGTGGCCAGGCCACATAATGCCAACTTGTGACTCAGAGGTGGCTGGGAGCACTGAGTACTCACCTTGGGGTCTCAGGCTGGGGAATGCTCTGATGCCAGCTGATGTGGCCAGGGGTCTCCGGCTTCTCCGCTGAGAACACAGTGGAGTGCTTCATGCTTTGAAATTGGGGTAGGGGTCAGTGGGACCTCAGAGCATCCCAGGGGAGAGGGAACAAACTGAGTGGGGAGAAAAGAAGACACTTAATACCACATCTACCTTTTGGCTTGGACATGACAGTCCAAGATACTTGCAAATTCAGCACCCACTACCACCTCTAAAAGTCATGCACTGTTTGAAACTATTCATCTGCTATTATTTAGATCTTCAGTGTCCCTTAAAGTCCCATGTGTTAAAGGCTTGGTCCCCTATGGAGTGAATCCTTCAGGGTGCAGGGCTTAACGAAAGCTCTTTCAGTCTTCGGGCGCGTGTCCTTGAAGTGGATATGGATCTTGGCCCTTTCTTCTGCCTCTCTTTCATTTCCTACCCATGAGTGATCAATTGTGTCCCTCCACAATTCCTACCATGTGTTGCATTGCCACAGGCCCAAACCAATGAGGCCTACTGATCATGGATGGAAATCTCCAAATCTGTGAGCAAAAGTAACCCTTATCTCTTCATAATTATCTCACGTATTTTATTACAGTGCCAGAAAGCTGACTAACACAGAGTTCTTTTTTTTCTTTAGAAAACTTAGAAACTGTAGAAAAACCAAAGGTAGTAACATGACCTGTCACCCTTGCACCTTGTGACTGTAGACCGGTCAGACAGACTGGATGCAGGATAGGGGTGGAGGTGTCTAACTGTCCCAGGCATGCAGCAGCTTCTCTTAGAGTACCTATGTTTTCTCCAATAATAGTGTTCAGTGTAAGCCGACTGCATCCTCCAGAACAATTCCCAGAGAATTGAAAGTAGGGTCTCAAGCAGGTGCCCAGTAGCAGTGCTCTTAATAGCCAAAATGCAGGTGCCTCTCAAGTACTCAAGTGTTCACTGATGAGGGAATGGAACTAAAAACTGAGTCTTGAGAGTCCTCCAGAGACCTCTGTGTTGAAAGCTTGGTATCAACCCTGGCACTACTGGGAGGTGGGGAACCTTTAGGAGGTTGGGCCTAGCGGGAGAAAGGTCATTGGGGGTGTGCCCGTGGAAGGGAGATTGGAACCCCAGCCCCTTGTTGTCTCTTTCTTTGCTTCCTGGCCACCATGAGATAAAATGTGCCTCCACTGAAGTTTCTGAAACTATGAGCACAGATAAACCTTTCCTCCTTATAAGTTAATTTCTGTCAGGTGTTTATTACAGCCACTGAACACTAATACAAATAGATAAGCAAAATAGAGTCTGGCCATACAGTAGGATATATTTAACCTCAAAAAGGAAGGAAATTCTGACATCTGCCGGCAGCAATGGATGAATCTTGAGGACGTTATACTGAGTGATATAAGCCAGTCACAAAATGACAAATTCTGTATTGTTTCACTTACATGAGATCCCTAAATGAGTAAAATTCACAATAGTAGGATGGTGACTGCCAAGACTGAGGGAGAAGGGGATGTGGAGTTAGTGTTTAATGGGCACTGAGTCTCTATTAGGAAGATGAAAACAACGCTGCAGTCACACCAAGATAACAGCAATTCAAAGCACCTAAACTTATGACTGTGTCAGGCACCAAGGGCTTCATCCTACATTGTCCACCTGTCAGCACGTGGCCCGCAGAGAACATGGCCACAAAGGGGCAGCCACCAGCCCCTTTCTGGGCCTTGGCACGTGGTCCTGATCCCTGAGTTACTGCCCTCCTGCAAGATCAAGGCCTGGCTGGGCAACCTCCATCTTGTTACCTGGGAAGAGGCTGGGAGCAGCACACATGTGCCACAGCACAGAGTGTGGTCCTGGTGGCCCTGGTGGCATTTGAGGCTCTGTAAGTGGCTATGAGGAAATGCAGGAATGATTTTCTTGTGGATTATGTACCTGAGACCAAAGACACCTCATTGGCAAACCCAGAATGAAGAAGGGGAGGGATGGAGCTCCCCACCTACCCAGGGGGTTAGCCAGAGCCTCCGGGCAACCCCAGCCTAGTAGGAGGTCCTAGATGGACTCATCCCTGCTCTGGCCCCTGGCCATCCCTTGGGATCTACCTGGGGACTAAAAGCCTCCATAGACTGAATGTGTCCTGGAGGATCTCTGCCTTGAAGGCAGTGTGGACATAGCGGGGCCCAAGCATCTGCATCTAGCATGATCCTGTTTCTAGCCCTGACTGTCCAGCATCCCCCAGCTCAGCATCCCCCAGCCTCAATCCCCTTGTCTGTAAAAGGACATAATAATAGTTCTACAAAGGTTCCTAGAGCTTGGGGAAGCACACAACCACTATACCCTCATGTTTTCAGCCACTCTCCCAGACAAACATGGGCAGAATATCTCATCCAGCTGATCGGTTACTGGGGCCTAAAGCAGTGGTCCCCACCCTTGTTGGCATCAGAGACTGGTGCAGGTGGTGAGGGGGAATAGGAATGAGGACGGTTTCTGGGATGATTCAAAGGAGCTCAAAACCTAGTTCCCTTGCACACAATGTTCACACTCCACCACATCAGAAGCCTCTAGGTCCACTCAGCTACATCAGGACACAGTAAGATCAAGGGGCAAACATGGTACTGACGGTTTTTGCTCTAAGTTGGATTGGCAGAAACTCATGGAAAGCACACCCAGGAATGCACACGGATCAGTGCACAGAGCTATAGCAAGAGGTGCTAGCACCGGATAGGCAGGGCTGCCTCCCACACAGGGCTGTGTGTCTGGGAAGCCAACACTCTTACCATTTCCATTTAATCTTTTCACTTACATGTTTAGTGGATACTTTTCTTTTCTTTTTTTCTGAGATAAAGTGTCACTGTGTTGTTAAGGCTGGCTCCTACCTGCTGAGCTCAAAAGATTCTCCGGCTTCAGCCTCCTGAGTAGCTAGGGCCCCAGGCATGCACCACCATGCCTGGCTTTGTTTAGTCAGTGTTTTCTGTTTGCTTTCTATCTTTATTTCCTGCCTTTAAATGTTCTAAATTGATTTTTTTTTCGTCTATTTCTTTCCTATTTTATTTTCACCATCATTTCTTTCACCAAGAAGGAACATAAATACAAACGTAGAGTCATGAATGAAACCTCGATTTGTAGTCACAAATAAAAAGCAATGAAAAAAATAAA